CCCCCCCCACACACACACACACACCTTTACAGAGAGAGAGAGAGAGAGAGAGAGAGAGAGAGAGAGAGGGAGAGGGAGAGAAATAAAAAGGGAAAAAGAGAGAGAGAGAGAGACGTAATAGTTTAACTACCATAGTGTTTTTAACAAAGATGTTCTTACGTAACTTGATTTGCAACTTTTATCTCCAATCCGAACTTCTATGCATTTTTACATTTTTCTACATCAACTACTAATTCATCACAACAGTACATATAGTATTCTTGTTCAATCTTTTTGGGGAGAATTTTGAGAGTCACTGTAAAACGGTGAAATACATAATAAAGATCAATATAAACATTGAATTTCATGATTTCAGGAGTACGTTACATCACAGATACCATCAAAGGGAATTGTTCCGTTCGTCCTATCTCTTCCACATCTTTTGATTCTGTGAATGCGAGTGCATCTACTGTAAGGCTTAGGACTGCACTGGAGTTCTTCGACTATGACAAAAATGTCATAACATATAACTACCAAGGAAAGGTAAGAGGACAAATGTTTTTAGCAAGACTACTGGTACTTAGAAATGAAATGATAAAATCTACAATAACTCCAAGAAAGGCAATAAAAATTTATTAAAATGTAATTCTATATATGTACACTCTTTGTATGTACATGGATATATTGGTTGATAGGCATTTGTAAAATTTAGAATAGAAGTGCATTATGCAGCATTATCTTTAATTTTCATTCTCCACTTTTTAAAGTAGTGAACATTTTAAAGAGACGCCTCTCCAATTTGCTGCACTTTTATATATTCCATATTATAGTGGACAAATATCAAAAAGAGAGTCAACTAGTACTAGCTAAAAATTTCAAGAGACCAGAGACTAGTGTACAGAACACTAAAGGGATAATGACTCTTCATATGAGATTCAAAATTCCACAATAAATACATTGTAAACAACACTTAGAAATATAGTTAATTCCATTTTACCACCAAAATGGCAGCTTTTGCAATTTCATGAAATTTGTACTTGCCATCAGACCCTGTGGACCTTCAAAGATGGCTATAACCTTTGTAGCAATCTCCTTAGATGTTATTACAAAAACACAGTCACTTAAAAAAAAAAAAATTAACAAATTTGAATGTCAGAATGGATTCATTAACCATTGGTAAGTATGGGAAGAGCATCATTTACCCCAGGAAATTTATTTTATGGCACTTTTTCAGTTGTTATCCCTTTAAACTCGACCAATGGGATTCTTACTCATAATGTAATCTGACATGATAAATTTCAGCGTAAAGTACGTAATATGGTTGTGGATGTGTATGCAGCCAAGCGCACCAACTGGCCTCCCATATGTCCTGATTGTACCTCTATATGGGAGTGGTCCTTCCAAAGTGTGAGTATTATAGTACACAATCAGTCATTAACAAATACAGGCTGTTCAGTGTTTCATGTGTATATCTCCTAGTTTTGAAAGATCTTTAGACATGCTTTGTAGACATTCTTCATAATTATATATTAAGTGGATTCTAGTAACATGCACAGAATTGATAGTCAAGGCTACGTAATAGTTGCAACTACATTACAGGATGTCAAAATATAAATTATGATTCATACTGTTAAGATATTAAAAGGCAAAAATATTAAATCTCATACTGGACAAGTGTAATACCACCAGCAGTGTCACCTGTAGTGACAGTTTCATGAAGATGTCCTTGTGATAAAGGACAAAACGTTGGAGTCTCTACATAACATCTATATGTGAGTGTCCAGTATGAGATTTAATATTTTTGCCTTTTGTACATCGCATGTTGCTTATATTATACATTTGTGAAATAAATGTTCCTATGCTTGTATTTTTTTCCTGCTGCATGATGAAACATAGGTTTTGTGTGGAGCAGTTTGATTTCGCTGCATCAAGTATAAGATGTTTACTTCAATTGAGATATATTGAAAACAAGATGCTGAAATAGCGGTGGTCAGTCAGAAAAAGGCGATTGTTTTAAAATCATGAAATAAATGTCTGTTTAATAAATCCCTTCTTCCAGCCGGAGTGGACCCAGTACAGTGGGCGTCTGGATGAGGGAGGAGAACCTGTCATGATAGAGATCAAGCTCCCTGAAGTAAGGGTTATGTTTGTTAAGCATTGGAATATATAGAAAAATTGGGACATGAAATAATTTGATTATCTGTAGTCTTTCTATATGGAAATAATTAAAACTTGTGTACACTTTGCTAACAAAATGCCTAATTCTATCAATTTTTCCTCCTTCAGTTGAATCTTCACTACATTTATAACATAATCAACTTTAATGAAGATGAACCTTCTTTAATGGAGTTTGATATAAGTCAGTGCTATTCAACAAGAAGAAGGCATTTCCAATTTGAATTGCCAGGTATGCCAGAGAACGTCAAAACTTTGTGAATGGGTTTCTCTATGTCTTACATGAGATAACTTACAGAACTCTGTCAAGCAATAATAATGATGAAAATAATTAAGGTTTAAAAAAATGGTGCTCTGTGCTCTTCTCTGAGTGTTGTGTACAATTTATAAGGATAAGAATTTAAAATTCTAAAACATACCATCTTAAATTGCTTTTTTAAAACCATGAATAGAATGAACATAATATCAAAAGCTGACACAGTTGACCTTTTCATTCGTTTATTATATTTGCTGGCTTTCTTCCTTTCTTTAACTTACTTACTGTCTGTATGCCATTATAGGGGAGGGCAAACCTTTGGTAGAGGCAGTTGGAATCAAGGTGTTCAAATATGCAGTAATGCTAGGAGTGGCGGGACAGTGCGGCATATCAAGTATTAGAGTCACTAACATTGTGGTGAGCATAAAAAGGACAGGAATGTGTATCTTCTAATTATCATTATGGTTTAATGAAGGAAAGGGCTTGATATTGACATGAAAAATATCGGTTATTGTTATCCTGCAGATGTACTTTTAAGCATTTTTCTGCTGATGAGAATATCAATTTGAAAATAATTTGTACATTATGTAGCCTTCTTTACTCATTTACCTCCAGGTCCGTAGCCAGCAATTTCAAAGGGGGGGTTCTTTTTCTGAAAAAGTGGACCTTTTACCATATAATCCCCATGTACCTAGGTCAAATTTTACCCAGAGTGGACCTTTTTCCAGCAAAAAGGGGTGTTCTTTCGAACCCCCCAAACCCCCCCCTGCCTACGGGCCTGACCTCAGTACAATTATTGTAATTTTAATTAAAATTGTATTTTGTCAATAAATTACTATAATATATTGTATGTATTGCAGGAGTGAGATTTGGCATTTTATGCAAACATCAATATTAATCTCTCCTTGCATACTCAGGGATGAGGCTGGGAATTCGTTAAAAAGTCAGAAAATATGGCATGGGGTCCAGGGGGACCTCTGCATCAATCTCAAAAATGATATTTTTGGGTTTCCAAAAAAAAAAAAAAAAATCGAAAATCTGCCAATAGTCCAAAAGAAAAAAATCTTATTACAGCATGCTTTCTTTACTGTTGTGTAGGTGGATTATGATACCAAAGAGGGGGTCCTGGTGTATTTTACCATGCTGGACAAGGCCCCAATCACTGGAGATGTTCCAGTGAAAAAACCAGAAGTCGACCTGGATGTGGCAGCAGAAATATTCACACTGGCCATCAACAGAGGGAATTTTTCAATTCTGCTGCTGAACTCCACAAATGTAAGTTTAGTTTCTTACATTTTCAGTTTTCTGACTAATTATTTTTAATCTGAGTCATATGTATATTCTTCTTGAATTTGGTAATGGAATATTTTGTCAATTGTATGTGATGTGAAGTATGAAATATATTGATTTTCTGTTCTGAGTTTATTCATACAAGTGACTTCATAAAAATGCAGCTGAAATATCCTTACAGGATAGTCTTATTGGTAATTAATCACCAGAATAATTGCACAGAAATATGAAAAATTGTTAGCCAAGTAACAAATTAAGTTTACATCTATTTACACCAATTATAGGCCTTTAGTCTGTATGCTAAGCCTTACTCAATAAAGGAGAATGAACGGGCAGCAACAGCGAGTCCAGTAGTGCAACAAGGCTTGACTACAGGTATTTTAGTTATTTATACGGTTATGGTAAAAGAAGCGGATACTAATAACTCCCTTAGGGGTATTAGGGACTATATATATAATTTTGAATAATTTAGTGATAATTATCATATGGATGGCCAACGAGTTGCCATGCTTTGAAATGATCAAAACTGACATGTAATTTGGATTTGATTTTATGGTTATTAAAGTCATCTTAAAAGTGGTGTCAGACAAAGGAAATATATAGATGTGTTTTTTCAGTGATTTAGCTCTTTTTTGCCACAAGAATGAATGAATAACTAATGTCTATTTTTCCATAAAATACACTCTAAGGTTTTCATGCTGTTTTTTATTCTCCCAGGTCAAGCCACGGGTCTTGCCATCGGATTGTTCGTGCTCGGGATATTTTTAACTCTAGCAGTGGTTGTGTTGGTCTTTAAAATGAGAAGCGGATCTGGCATGTTTTCACCACAGAGACTAGACGAAGTGGAGCTCCATCCATCAAACTAAAACAAACAAAGAGATATTTCATCCTGAATTTAATTAAAAACCACAACACGGACGCATTGCAGCAAGCAGAATTCAGCAAGGAAGACATTGTGTTAGTTGAGATGGATCAACCAACACATTTTAGCTCAGGCTATTTTTTTTTCGGCGAACGGGCGTCGCGGACAATTTTGACTCCAGTGTTTATAATGTTTGACTGGAACGATGCTGTTACTGAAGCACTGAAATGGTAATAATTTTATAGTCATTATAATGATCACAAAATACTCTGGTAATATATATGGTAAGGAATAAATTTTCCAGGAATTGTAAGATTTTGTACAAAAATTTCGGTGTTCCTAAATGTTGTTAAATGGGATATTTTTTTACGTCACGTCTACATTTAAAATTAGTGTGATAAACGATAAGCTATTAGTCAAGGACAGTCTGCTGATTTACCGAGTATCTTCCCTTCTTATTACGATACATGAGCCTCATTCATTTTTAACGTATTTTGTAGAACGTGACTTCATTTAATTGTCTGTTATGTGCAGTATGTAGGCAATATACATTTAAGCTTCTTCAGATGAGTTAGAATTCAAGCAACCTGTACATACAAGCATTGTAGTTCAGCGGAATATTTATCATGTCCTAAATGTTTCCTATAATTAAATTATTTTGTTGATACAAGGAATAAATACTCTTACCACTGACGATGATCTCAGTTTTTGTTTCAAGAACCTCATCAAAGATGAAAGGTGCGATTCCACTTTCTCATAAAGACTGCTGTTCTGTTGCAACATATATATACTGTTTTAGTAAAATTACAAATATTTTTGGACAGAGGATTACTGAAATTATTCGTCGAAGTTAACATGGACGTTTCGAGAACTATTAAACGTGACTGGTAGGCCCATGTACTTAACCGTATTTTATAAAATTTACTGTTAGTAAAAACTATCGGGGTTCTTTAAAAGAATCCCTTCCCGAATTTTTTCGCAAAATATTTTCTTCAAAAAAAAAAAAAAAAAAAAGCAATTCTTCTTACTTCTTTCTAATCATTGCTTGACCCGTCCCTACAGTTGGATTTGATGTCTTATAACGTAACTTAGTTTTAAATGAATTCAAAGTCATACAGAAAACACTTAACGTCATAATTAAGAAAGGGCTTGAGATTTTCACAGGCCTTGTTCTAAACATGAGTTTTATATCAAGTGAAGGACCCTAGCAGAGCGCCACCCCTCTTCTCCTTGTTGTCCTTATGACCGATGTTAGTTGTCAAACGTTGCCATGCCCCTGGTGCTTATTGATATATCAACTCCTGTTAATGTGGCATCTATAAGATATAACTTTTCAAGTGGCACAAAGAAAAAGACACAAAATTTTAAATATTTATTGGCACTGAAGACAACATTTACATAAACCTCTCATTTCACGTAGCGCATAAAAGAAAGGGCAATTAAAATATAGGTGTATCACATGCTGTATACAACTTAAGTTACTTTAGCACCATTTTGAACATTTTTACTTAAAACTGAGCTCATAAACACATACGCTTAAACAAATATCAATCAAATTAATATGATTTCTTTCTGCTAAAATTTCCGATCAAAAACAAACGACCGACGCCAATTCCTAACATAAGCCACGACCTCGACGTCTGTAATCGACAGAAGTTCAGAATTTGACATTCAACAACAGATTCGTGCCAGAAGAACTTTCGAAGAAACACATTCTCACTTATCGGTAAGTCTAACCTGTAACGATTGAGCAACGGAGAACGACCTGATATTTACTCATGGGAATGGACCCTATTGATAATCGATAAAACTGGACGGCTTACATCGGAAAAATAATCAATTCACAATAAGACTGGTTAAGTAAATGGAATAACTAATCGCCTTTATTGTGGTGCAGACCATTATTATTATTCAAATTTGCTCGCCTGCCTTTCTAGCACCTTGGTCTGCAGTTCCTCGGTTATTTGATTCAGCTCCTGAACGTCTTCTAAAAGGTTACTCACTTCCCTCTCGCGAAGCTGTTGCTGACGGTAGGCCTTCTTTAGAGATTGGCTGGACTGTGGAAGATCATTGTACACGGAGTACAGGTCCGGTGTCGCCGGTTGGAAAACGATATTCGGCATCTCCACGATCAAGCTTTTCTTTTCTGGGGGAATACGTGGAAACTCGGTGTAACTGGCTACGATTTCGTGCGACCGTGACATCGCTTTCATTTTTGCCTCTAGTGTTCTGTCTCTGCTGAGTTCCGTATCTGATCTTTTGTTCCCCTTTCTTGACACCCCTCTTGAGGTTTCTTCTTCATTTGGGTATTTTACCAGTCTATGCGAACCGCCGCTGGAAGAAAACCCTGTCCAATCCGAATCCACGCAGTCTCGATAGGGGTCCTCCGTTGGCTGAAAGTCGGATTCAGGCGTGGTGGAGGGGACGTAAAATTGCCCTCTGACGTGATACTCCTCTTGGGCTTGGCGCACCGCATCGATAACATCGGTGACTCGGTCGTAGCTGTGAGCTGTTGGAGCGAGCTCCAAATGTGCTTTCGGCTGGCGAGAAACCGCTCTCGCCCCGACGCGCTTAAAGAGTCCGGTTTGAGCATCTTTCTTATAGATAGGTCCATGTGGAGCTTCTGGGTGGACAGTTAAATCCATTTTATCTTTGTGTGCCGGTGATTGTTTATTCGTTTGGTGTCGAGAGGGTATAATTCGTCTTTCTAAATTAGGTATACTTTGCGACGGTTTCAAAAGTTTTTGCAAATTAACAAGTTTTGCCTCGTCTACAGATTTCGAGAACAGTCGTGTATGTAGATCGCCGTCCGATTTAGATTTATTACTCAGTTCCGGAGCACTGTTCGTATTTCTCTCTGGTCTGTGAAATGGTTCTACAAGCTGTTTTCCTTCTAAAGGATCCAACTTCGGTGGGCTTCTTTGACGCACCGGGCCCGCCCGACGTCTATTCCTCTCCAACTTTTCCAAAAGAATCTGGCGTTGGCGATAGGGAAAAGTGTCTAGAAATTCGTCGGGCGGTTTCTTAATTTTTGCCCGATGTTTCGGGTGCTCTCTTCCTAGAGAATTCACTCTCAGTCTCTCCATCGCGTGGGAGAGATTTTCCTGTTCTTGGTTGATAAGTTCCTCCCGCAGTTTACTTAGGCGGCCCAAGTACTCGGCTTGGTAGCGGGGGGTCTGACGAACGTCCGCAAACCATTGCTGCATTTTCTCGCTAGACCAACCAGCCAGCCCTGCCTTTTCCATCATTCTGTAAAATAAAACACAATTTTCAATTAACTCTTGTCATAAACGTGCGATAAAAGATGAATGTACGACATTATTACCAATACCTTACCAACAACCTTGAGTCATATTGTAAAGCTTCGCAATTCTTTCACTCCTACAGTTCAAACAGAGGTAAGGTGATACCAAAATAATAAAACACATTTGGTATCTAATCGGAGAGATGAAGGTTAACTTGGCACACAAGCAAGTCTGTATGTGTTCAAAATCAACATCATAACGTCGCCGGTAATATATAACAGTGAATGAAAAAAAAAAAAAAGATAAAAAAGAGTTTATTTACAAAATGCACTAAAAAATAGCTCTCCTCTCAACTTTCTTTTTTACCTGAACATGTTAGATCAATAAAACTAAGGATCAATTCCACCAGTGTCTAATTTAATGTCAATACCCCCCTTGTGACGAAAAGACACCTATTTAAACAAAATATTATGGCACATAATTCAAACTGGAAATCAAAATCGACGCGTAAAAAAGGCTTTTTTAACGCGCCCTTTTCATAGAATACCTTTCCAACCAGGGTTAAATTCATTTCACATCATAAATGCGTGTTTGACATTACGTCATTCAAATATGTAGAAAATATAAACCCTTGGTTAATTACATTTCGCACCAGCAGTCGACTCAATGATAAACACCAGACTTTTAATCCACCAAATAAAATATTACATTAGTATGATATAACCTTTTTATTTCTAAAATAGGCGTGGTTATATGCTTCCGACAAAATCCGCTTAAAATATTATCGTATAATAAAGACGGAGGCATTTAGCGCAAAACGCTTCTCTTTCACGAATTCTGGCAACGTTTTCACCAGCTTTTTCATACAGACTAAGAAGTCAACTATCAACAAAGCGATAAGTAAAGTCAAATCAAATATGGTCTTAATCTGGCATGATAGTAGATATGAACAATATACGATACAATATATAATTATGCATAATAACAATAAACCTTACGTACACGTTACAACACACATACCCTGCATCATGGTTCGGTCCCCTGCCTATCAAAATTAAATCATCAAAATTGGGCGTTTCGTTATCTTCACTCTGCATTTTCACCATCCTTAAAGCTTTCCAGTCAAGAACCAAGTCAGCCTGGACAGCTTTCAGACATCTATAATTTGTCAATGATTCAAACAAATACAACTACGTGCTCCAATGTTCGGGGTGTTAGCCCACGGGTATTTTAAAATCCACTCACGACTTTCTTGAATCCTGCAGGGAATTTCGCATAGAAACGTTGTGGTTATTCCTATTCAAAATGCTTTTGTAGCGTCACACTGTATTACCACACTGACTTCAAATTGATTTGTAATGATAAATTAACAGAGGATATTCAAGGATCAGCAATAATTTAGGTTGCAATCTTGTTCAATCTGATATCACATGGACTTAATTTGTTGCTTAACAGCGACTCCATATTAGCATAAATCTTCCGCGCAGAGCCCACAGCAATTTCTGAAACGTTGTTGTCCTGATCTTTACTCCAGAATAAAAAAAACCCTACTATTACGTGATCTCACGCCCTCTATCATCTGCTATTCCTATCCCATTAAATGGAGTAGAAAATTGCGTTGACATCTGAAATGACTCCCTTTCAGACCACAGACCACTCGGTCCCATTCACTTTTTGTCAACTGATGGAGTTACATTTGTATGCAGAATCAATACTCCTCTGTTGCTAGCACCTGGGAAAAGGGGCAATATGTCAACTTGGCACGGAGATTGGACGGTGCCAAAATACAGCCTGTCTTTTTGTTGGAACGTGTCACAGCGTGGCGCTTCAATTAAGTTGCCTATTGCAACGAGTTGATTGGTATTGGAAACTAATAATCAGCTTGAGGATAATCATTGCTTGAGGTAGTATTTCAATATATAATGTACACCTACACGGAATCGTCCAAATGCAAGCACTTGGAGGCAAATGTAAAAAAAACTTAATCTATTACGGCATTAAAAATTATACCTTTGGCAGTGTCATCACTACAAAAAATTAGTTTAAAATTTCATCTCCAGACACTATTCCCTCTCAATTTTCAGCTTACTCACATCATCGTTTTATCTCCATGCACTATACCAGAAAGTGCTCAACTCCCAATGGCTACGAATTCATAGGACTAGGAATGTCAGCAACCACCTGTCGTAACCGGGGCTAATCCTATCCTCGACAAATAGTCAGAGTAACTAATCTCACACAACCAATATCGATCTCATCCTACCTTAATAACAGTGCTGCATTTCCAAAACCGTCGGCCTCTGATCGAGGAAAACAGCCTTTGTGATGGTGGGCTCGAATTCCCGCCATCTTTTGGAGAATTTCTTTTGGAAAATTAAAAAAGTGCACAGTGAGGTCCTTTCCCCCTTCTGTCTAGGCTAAATACTATACTCTGGTTTCCCAGACGCAAAACCTTCTTTTAACCCTTACCAGTCAGTTTTGTTATTGCGTCCATTTAGATGGTTCTTAGCGGGCCGTCAGTTCATTTTTCCGAACCATTAGTCAAACAATCCCCATGCAGATTTAATCGGGCGAATATGATTTTTAATATCCAATGCCAACTTTTTGCTCAGGCTTTTGTGCTACGAATACAAGATTGCTGACACGATTACTTCTACAGCGGTAACTTAACACCACAAGCAGCCTGGATAAGAAATTATTTTCATATCGCATTAAAGATCCGTCTTTTTGTCTGTTTGTACAAAGCAAATGCTGTAACAAGATCTTATTTTTTCAAGAACAGAGCACGTCAAGTGTCGAGTATTTGCCGTATCCTTTCAAAAAACAAAATCACAATGCTAATCTTCCTTTCAAACAAAGTCACATTTCCGACCTGCAATCCATTACAATAGATAAAGGATAACATAATAAAGGTTGTGTACATATTGACGTAATACGCAGGTAAGAATATACTGTGGAAATAAAATTGTCAGGGCGACGTGACAAACAAAAAACCCAACAAAAACATAGAGTACAATGCCCAAGCGGAATTTGGCTCACTAAAGCTTCAAAATTATAAATATTTGGTCATTTTCATTCAGTTAATTTCCAAATGAGATAAATGGTTATTCACTATTGGGAACAAAATACCATAGCAGGGCATCAGAACCCCTTCGCGATGACCTAATCTACAGCACCTATATTTGGGGATTAGTTTGAATCAATCATTTCTATCTCAATAGTAGCATAAAATGCTCTATTTTAAGAACTTTTTTTATGAAACCGATGAAAAAAAAAAAAAAAAAAAAACAGATGAGAAAGGTGAACAGGCACATAAGCTAACTCATAAATAATAGCTGTCGGGGGGGGGGGGGGAGTAAAGTCATTTTCAGCATGCAATTCACACATCCATCAATGTATAAGTTAAACACTTTACTCTCCAATATCCCGAGGGTAATAGGCAAAATACATGGGATATAATGTCAAGATCATATTCTACAATATTCCTTTCTGTACGATAATTTGTGGGTTGAATGACTGAGGCCGCTGCAAGCAAACAGAGTAAGTGGCAATATTAGAGCTGGGAGGCCCATATCAAAGCTTACCTAACTGAGGACTGCCCCCAAGTTGTGTACACCTTAATGGCTCGACTTGTTCCATTCTAATAGGCCATTAAACAGCAATGCAGGAGAAGTTGAAAATAAATATTTCTGCCATTCAAATTTTGCTAATTTAATAACCTTAAAGGGAGTGGAACACAACTACCTTCATTACAACAACTGAACAAGTGGGAAAAATGCACTTCGTTCTGTTTCAAAAGTGAGTGAATGTAGCCTTCACTTTAATCCCATAGGTGCTTCAATACCGGAGTTTTAGCGAAAAAGATTGTTCACCTGTTATGAAATAATGTGTATATCAAAATTCAAAGCCAAAGCAATATTTGATGCATTTAATCATAAAATGTAAACTGGTTAATACAAAAATCAAACAATGAAAATGGCTGCTACGCCCACAAATTTCATATCATGACCTTTTTTGTCATGAACACTTGTGTTACCTGCTGTATATAATAATATGAGGATATATTCAGTGACACTTATGACATTTTTGACAGATGGACCTCATTTAAAAGATAAAGTCAACAAAATCATCTCATTTGAAATCTGCCTCTTAAAACTACCAATGGACAACACAACTATTTTGTTTAGACTGTAAACAATATGATATTTCAAAAGCATTTATCATTTGGCAAAGTTTCATAATTAAAACACCCTGATCAAAACATAAATAAATGTACAAAAGACTGCATAAGGCACTAGTATTTTTATGAAATAGGTTGGTAATGCCCCAAGCTAAAAGGCTTTAAGAGAACTGTGCTGTGCACAATTCTCAACGATTGAGAACTTTGCAAAGTTCACACAATAATATTAAATCATTTTGTAATAATTATATGCAGGAATCTTACCTCATTCTATTTAAGCTGTAAAAATTGCAAAATGATCCACTCTATTGCAGTAAAAAGTGTATCTCACTGTGTCTCAAACATGTCCCTCAACAATGTGTTTTGCCTTTCATGCAATATAACATGTTTTCTGTATTCCGACAAACCTGGCTACCCCTTCTAAGCTGATCACTTCTTTGAAAGAAAATTGAATAAGCTTTTTGAAATCAATAACAATAAATTATTTAGCAGGTTGCATTGAAGCACATCTGAGTTGTTTAATGACTAAAGACCCATTCACACATAACTGGGACTGATCCTTTCAGCTTCTTGTTTTGCCAACAAATGAGGCAAACACAATTACTCAATGATTAACTTTGAGGCATATTTCCTCCATGAACAGTACTGTTTCCCATTTTAACACTGCAAGACTGACCCTTGCCCATTGCTATTGAACCCTATTGGTGAACTGCTCAAGGCAGCCAAGCTTACAGAATGCAATTTTTGTTGTGATTGTTCTTTTGTGTTGCAAACAAATCTGAACCTTTAAACTGCTTTGGAGTTGATTAAGTGTAAACGTTTCACATAAAACTTAATTATTTGATATTCAGCACACACTAAATATATTATGTCAGTGGGAGAGATTTTCCCCATAATAAGCTACAAGCAACTGGTGTTAGCAACCTACTAGGGACTAATAAAACCTTCCTTTCAGTGATCACTTATCCCCTCCCATCCCTCCTTACACCCAGCTACTATATATATATATATATATATATATATATATATATATATATATATATATATATATATATATATATATACACACATGCTGAAAACGATAATTGTACAAACAATGCTTCTCTTCAATGTTTTATGTACTTGAGTAAACTTACCTTGATTAGCCAGTAAACTTACAATGATTGGTTTTATAAATATTGAAAACAAAACACACCTGACAAGGTGTGAGGAACACTGCAAAAAAAGAACAGTTTACTAAAGTCATGCAGTAAACTTTGCATGTCAAGAAGTCAAAAAAAGCAAAAACCTTAACCATTCAAAGGCTGTACTGTATGGTAACATAAATATTATCTTATCAAACTAATATAACGATAAGACATGCCTACAATAAACACTTAACCTGCAAATGTGTTTGTTTTTTCTATGAGCACAGTCAATGTCTTAAGCACAGTTGATGACTGCGAGAAATTCAATAAAACTAAGTACAAACAAAGGGATTAATCTGAGGCCAACAACCCCTAATGGGTTCTAATGGCTCATACAGGATAACCTTTAAATATTTTTTTTAAAAAATCATGAAGACATTTGAACAAACAGCTCCAAATTTAAGAATTTCAGTAATCAAATTCATCAAAAGCTCACCAACTCACCCCTGAATATTGAAATTAACACACTTTTTGTAATCACTCATCTCCCTACACATGTGCCACACCCAAATGTGCCTTCTCAACTAGAGCCTTAGGGATTTAAGTAGCTTACAAAAAAAAAATCAATGAAATTGGCTCAGGAATTTTAAGTCAAATTTTCCCTGAGCATTAATGAGTTGGGATAAAGTCTTGAGCAGGTTCCTTAATAGAGGTTGTGTATTTGTCTTTCTTTAATGCCTCCGTTTATGTGTGTTGATGCAGCAGATAACTATTACTGCATATATACCGGTACGTGGATATTCTTATCTAGGTTACCTTGCCCGCACAGACAGTGTGTTCACAAATGGACCAAATGATTATATAATATAACTCATGCCATCAGATAACCAGCTTCATTAAACTGGGATTTAAAATTCTAAAGCCTGATGGGGTTACCACTGTCAACTTATTGTCAAATTACTTTGAAATGCATAAAATCTGGTGGTTGATGAACTTTTCTGAACCTTTGGTAATTATCATTTAAATTTTATTTTTGTCTTTTTTACAGTTGCAGGTAGTTCCATATATGGGAGAGAAAAGAAGTCGCTGGTGACACTGCTAAGATCATTTTCTATCTAAGTCAGTCTAGCTGTAAACATGTCTGAGTGACCTTCTCAACTCCAGATTTCCTAAAGAACCCTCCTTAAGTCTGATAATATAATCGGAACATCAGGACAATCAGCCCATTATGTAGATTTCCCCTACGTATTCTAACCTAGTTTATATCCTATGTATATAAAACCATTTTGATAATTGCAGAGGTGTTTAAATGAAATATATTCTACTCATTTTAAAACTTTTAAAATGTTCTCCTTTTCACTCATGGATGAGTTATAAGCTTTACATAATAGAGATATCACAAAGTACATGGTACAGGGTACCATTACAAATTTACACTCACCTTTGTGAAAGTCTATAACTTGATTCTGCCACTATTTACGTATATCATTTAGAAAAAAATTAATTAATATTTTCTCAAAAGCCAATATTTGCTGTTTAAATCTTTGCACAGAGGCTATAAACTTTGTGGGCTTTAAAAAAGACATCTCTTTTAACTGCTGTCCAAGACCCCAAAGCTGTTGCCAAGGCCTAGGCGTACTTGGAGAGCAATGCAATGTGAGACAGATATAGCCAGTGTTTGATCATTTAGAAACTCAAGTGTTTTGTTTTCTGATAATCAATTCACCTACTGAATATTTTAAGAACAATATTATCATCATCTTAAGTTGAAAAAAGACCCAACCCACTTTACACCTTTATCAAATACAGCATGAAATTCAAAATATCCACACCAGAATAATCCATATTATCAAGAATGTATTCTTGATATTATTTTTGCAATGTTTATTTTATGACTGAAGAGGCATTACTAACCAAGGGTAAAAAAATGAATTCTGTTAATATATATTGTTGCACATTCAAAGTACATTCAAAGCAGGCCAGGGAGGGTCAGATGAACCACCCTTTTTGCTGGTAAAAGGTCCACTCTGGGTAAAATTTGATCTAAGTACATAAGGTCTTCATGTTAAAAGGCCCACTTTTTCCAAAAAAAAAAAAAAAAAAAAAGAGCCCCCCTCTTTGAAATTGCTGTCTACAGCTCTGCCACCATATTGATGTCTCACTGGTTATAAACACCACTTAGTGATGTCTACGGCTATAAATAATTTCTGCAAGTATTGAGGTTCTTTTCAATTTCACATAGTAGAAAACAGGCTCATGCACAATTAATTTCTACATCTTATTCGTGTATACAATACTTATAGTATGATGCTAGCCTACCATCAATGCTGCGAGCAGTTGACTCAGCATTAAGACCACACCTAGTTTATGATTATGAAATACTGGATATGTATGTGTAATAATATTGCATATCTATATATTATGTAATTTTGGTGTTATTTATCTGTGTAAAAGTTTCTTATATATTTTTTGTATTACTTTATCTCTTTACATTTTCACCAGCTCAGTCTGGTATAGAAAGTATGAATAATGCATATATTTAAATATTAAGCTAAATTCCTTTGTAAAATTGAAAGATATGTTCATGCACACCCATATATACATGAACATATAATTTGACATCAATTAAAAGACAAATGACTTGTAACAAACTTAAAAGTCACGGTTAAATTGATGATCTGTTTTGAGCAAGGAAAATCTATAAATCAAAACCTTGAAGGCTGAAGTTTCAGTGGAAGACTTACAATTTTCCTACTTACAAGTACTAGTATATATTTATCAAGGAACAGGGAAATAAACAACAGTTCAAACAGAGAAAGCAAAAATTTAGCCAGAGTAGCACCGCCCCATTCCCATTTATACATCAAATCTGCACAACTTTCCAGGATGCCTCTAAAAAGGGAGCTATTTTTTTTTAACTTTATTTAAAGAGGATAAACATGTTAAGCGTATGCTTATCTTCCACATGGCCCTCTGTTACCAGTCATTCAACAATACTGGCTTTGTTCCCTACTTCAACCTTTATATCCTGAGTGCTAGGCAAGGAGACAGTGGGTACCATTTTTATGATGGTCTTTGGTATGAGCCGGCTGGGGATTGGACCCACAACCTACTGGACCAGAGGCGAGCACTCTACCATTTGAGCCATCCGGTCAGTAAAATCAAATTCATCATCTGCTGATGAAAATTTATCATGTGTGAAGGTGTTCCTGTGCCTTTACAAACAGTACTTCTAATCTGAGTGGATAAATTCATTCCATTTCTGAAGATTAACAACAATATCTTGTGTTATGTCTTATCTTAAAATGCCTTGAAATTAATAACCTCAAATAAATACCAATGCAATAATTCAATCATAATGCTCAACCAGGCATAACCATTATGCTTAACTGAGTCTCACCTTAGTCTTTAGGTTTGATATATTCATCCTTCAACACTTGATCCATCCAAAGAGGAAACACCTTGTGAAAACTCTGAAACCACACAATTATTTCATCTTATTCAACAGTAAAAAGAGAACAAACCAAGTATGTCACTATGTATATATGTTGCAGACTGACAGTTGTAGTTCATGTGTACCCAGACTTTTGTCTGGCATAGTACATTGTAAAGGGCTTCATCTATCTTTCCATACATTGTATCTTTCATATTCTAAAAGGTAAAAAACAAAGAGAATAAATATAGGACAGTATAATAATCTAAGAGTTTAAAAAGATAAAATACCACAGGTTTTATCTTTCAAAAGATCATACCTCAAAACAAGGCGAGTTAATCAATTATTTATCCTACAAGATATTTTAGTTGAAAAAAATTACCATAGAAAAAGATTTTCTACCTGAATTCTTTTTTTGTTTACTGACTTAAAGACCTGGCCCTGAATGATGACAGTCAGATGTCTTCTCCACTCTGTATTTCTGATCAGAGTTATCCTCCCAGTAACCTCATTGTCAGGAGCCACAGAAAGAGGCTCATCTAACATGAAGAGATGTTGGTGCCAATGAGTTTGACTGAAAATATTCAAGAATTAGGCTTCTGGTGTTTTCACAAGTATAACTATTATAATGAAATTAAAATCATAAAAAAATTAATAAACAGAAAAGACTAATATACTAGACAAAATGTAAAAAGAAAACCAAATGGGAATGAAATAAATACTGTTTCTCCAGATAATAGTGTCTATGATAGCTTTCAGTGCTTGTGTTAACTAAAATGGTTATATGGATGATATTATGGATAACAATAATTATTATAATATTAATTCCTCCAAGCAGCTGTACAAAAGAATTAACATCTGCAATAAAATGAAACTAATTTTTTTTTAATCCTGCTGAGCTGTGTACCTGTGTTTTGGTCCTGTGCTTAATACTACCGTGGGGCTGTCAGAATCAGGATGGCTAAAACCCACACTGAACCAACTACAGAAACCATGCAGTGGTCCACTTTTCTTAACTAGAAATGAAAAATCCTTGTCAATTTTTTCTAGGTCTTGTATCTGGACGTTTTTCATATTCAACTTTAGAATACAGGTTTCCTCTGCTAAGCAGTCTTCCTCAGAAAGATTATGGTTATAGATGGGTTTGTAAAAGAACTCCTTTACTGCTTCTTCTCTGAAAATAAATATTATACCACAACATACACTTTTTATATATCACACATAAGGGAAGTGACCTCAGTATTAAAGTGTAGCTGTCACTGACAAACAAGCCACACAGTAAAAATAATTAGTAAAAAGGACAAAAGTAACATTTAAATTTCATCAACAACACTTTTTATATTTTTTGTACAGATAATCTTCACATAATCCACTTACTGCTTGTGAGATTTTTCATTTCAGATCTGTCTACTTATTTCAGCTATTAAAAATTGTGTGGGAAATTGGCAGGCACACTTCTGTGATCATTTGTGTATTCTGGGCGAAGAATTGTTTAATGTATAAAATTGATTAAGTACATTACTACTGGAGGTTAAAGCATAGTGATTTAGAAATTGTATTTTGGGTCAGTAACCTCGGATTACACAATGTACGTCTTCAACATCTTCATCAAACTGCCCTGAAATAGCTGCTTCATTTTGCCCACTCACCTCAATGAAGAGAAGTCATATCCATAGACATTGTCCCAGGCCTTGACCTTAGCTTGATACACACTCTGAGCACTGCATGGTGCGAGGTACAACTGGGCTTCAGACGGCCATATCACACCATCTTCTTTCAGGCACTTGTCTCGACCTAATATCACAGTTTCAATCATGAACTCAAACTGAAAGATAAATATTAAGAAAAGGAATAGCATTATGAAGTATGTTCTTCATCTATTATTTTTGCTTTAAATGCCCAACAAAATTTTTTTAAGTCATTCATTTGTTGGTGATGTTTATTATCTCTTATGTGACCAAACACCAAGTGCCGCTAACTTTAAAAATTAGAATACATCAAAACCCAAGGTAATAATGTATTATAAATTTAAAACTTCTAATATTTTATATACCATTTTTCTTACCAATAGCATTGTCCCCATCCATTCTGATATGATCAAATCCACTTTTTCTGGTAAAACAATGTTTTCCATTTCCCCTTCAATCACTGTAATTTGTTCACCCAAGCCATTTTTATCCACTAGTGATTTAGTGTAATGAGCAATATCACTAGCCTCCACGGCATAAACCTATTGGAAATAATTCATGACATTTTGAATTTATACAATATAGAGAACATATGTCCTTTCAAAGTCAAAACTGAACTAAAAAAAAACAGAAAATTTAGCAATCTGCTACAAAGTTTAACATTTCAAAAATGTTTTATCACAAACACCTGGAATTTATTTCAGTGACTTGTTGTATATATTTATTTAAAATTAAAAAAAAAATTACTCTGAATGTCTTACCTTTGCTGCCTGTCCCACGGTGGCAGCAAACATACTCAATATCCCTGTACCACAACCAATGTCCAGGACAACCTAAAGTTAGTATTCATTATGCAACAATAAATAAATAAATAAATAAAAACAAAAATGGGATTATTTCCCTTTTTTTCAATTCAGATAGATTGTACTCATGTCTCATAGGCAGGATATTTTATTTTGCACCTGGTTAAACACACACACACACACACACACACACACACACACACACACACACACACACACACACACACACACACACACACACACACACACACACACACACACACACACACACAAATTGATGAATACAAATATACCTGTGGATGAACTCAAATCGTGATATGAAAATGGTTACCTTGTCTTTGGTATGCCTGCAATATACCTCGAATGCCTTTTTGTAAGCCTCCGTTCTGGGTTTGTCACTAAGCATTTCAAGATGAAGTTTCTGACAAAATAGAAGATAACAATAATAAAGGTTGCCACTTACATTTTAATGAATCAGATCCTATCACTGTCTTCAAATGTTTGTATTTTTTGTATTAAGGGTTCTATTCATTTCAAGCTTTTAGAATTGGTAGACAAAATTCTATGACTTGCCAATATAATCTACAACTAAAATTTCACTACAGGAAATATGTTATTGGTTTATATGCAAAAAGAGCATCACTTAATTATTGTGATAAACTCCATTAAAAGTTTGTTAGACAGTTTATTAAAGTTACATATGAAGCCAGCGCAGATTCCTTGTAGCACATATAAATCACTACTACTTGTTTTCTTTTTACAAAGCAAATTAAGCTGATAAGCTACAAGATAAGCCAAATAAATCACTTCATCTGGAAAAAAAAAAAAAAAAAAAAAAACCTCAAAACTTGACTATTCAAATTTATGGTCATAAACTTGACCTACTTATCTGTCTCTCCAGTTAGTAAGTTTGTCAAAAAGTGCACTACGATTTATAATTGCTGAGTGGATAATAGCAAAAATAATCAAATTAGGGTTCCCTAAATAGACTGAGTATTATATATAGCACAAAAAGAAAGCAGAAACTAGAAAAGCACTCTGAGAGTGCAGATCTCCGCCAAGGCAGCAAAGTCTCCCCCCAATGCCATTTCACCCCTAAATTTTCATTCTGTAATAATTTAGTTTTTTGATTATTGATTATTGATTGATTATTGTTCTGGATCACCACCAAAAACTAATCATCTGTTCCTTGGCCCAATTATGACAGTTCCTGAAAATTTCATCAAAATCGGTCCATAACTTAGTTTTTTGATTTTTGATTGGTTATTGATCCAGATCACCACCAAAAACTAATCACTTCAAAGTTAAACCATTTCTGACCTACCCTGAAAATTCCATCAAAATTCATCCATAACTTTTTGAGTTATGTTGATGACAAACAGACAGACAGACAGACAGACTAACAGGGGTAAAAACATAACCTCCTTGGCAGAGGTAAATATCTGTTTAAATATAATTTAAGGGGGAAATGTGAAACGATACCCTTTGTTATTTCTTAAAGTTATGCTATCAGATTATACGTTGGCATTTGGTTGGGTTTAGTTGCAAAGATTTGACTTCATATGTAACTTAAATGCAGAGAAACTTATAATTTAATGTATCACTTTCGCTCAAAATTGAAATATCAAACATCAACATCTCCTCACCAAAGTGCCATAATTTTCAAAATAATCACAATCCTGCCATGAAATCTGCTTAAAGGAGGAGTCGGAGAAGCTGACCACATGATTGGTGGGCACATATCCAAAGTGACCTTTAAGTCTTGACCACCACCAGTGCTCTGAGGTCTTTTGGAGAACCTCGATCTTGTCTCCTCTAGAGAACTGCAACTGTAAAAAATAAAATAAAACATAAAACAAACAAATAAATGAATAAATAAATAATACTAAGAAGAAAAGAATAATAACTGGTAGGTTCTGAAAAAGTCCGCTGCCCAGGCACTAGTACTAGCTGGCCACCAAAGGCACTTACATATTCACCTAAAAACATTTTCTGAACAAGGATGTGATTCATCACTTTATTATAGGACTGGTACAGTTGACCCAGAAATAATTTTCTGAGAAAAAAACTCGGGATGACTGACTACTTGGATGAATTTTATGATACATTATTTATGAAACCTGTAATATCTCTGTTCTTTTAGTTACTAGAAAGAAGGTCTTTAAGCACAACTTTTATGAGCAAATCCTGAAAAAATTTTAATATGTGCATTGCTGCACAGTTGCTAAGCATGTATGCAAAGACTACAAACTCCTGAAACAATATAAAAAAAACTTTTTTTAAAAAACTTAGGAAAAATAAATGCTANTGTTTTGTTATATAAAATATAACTTGGGGATATACTTAATCGTTCTGTCAAGTGCATTAGTAAAAAAATCAACAGATCACCGTATAAACGTCTTTTCATCTTACCTACCTCTATGACACTGTTTCTCGCCACTCTCGCTTAGAGGTCGCCAGACACAATTTGAAAACGAGGCCAAGTCTAAAATATAACAAAATAACCGTCATATGAGCCGGTGGCTCCCGGGCTGAAATGGCCGTCGCTTCAGACAGTGTGCACGCGCAGCTCGAAATCTGCGGACAGACTGTTAGGCGCATGCAAGTGTTCTATTCTGTAACTTTCTCTCGAGCGCGACGTTATCATTTTGCCAGAATAGTGACGTCGTTGCCGATCCAGTGACGTCACCATAGCGTTTCAAACAACCAACTACAAAGACAGAAAAAAATCTGCAAAAATGCACTGGTGCGCCTTATTTATCTGTTTGGCAGTTGCATTAACTGCATCAGATGCATACATTTACAAAAGACCTGAGTGGAGCGCATGGGGCCCTTGTCTGAGGAAATGCTCTGAAAGTTGGGCACGTAGATGGAGAGTTGCAACTTGCCAGCGGTGCAACAACGACGGTTCCAGGTGCATTAACGCCCCACCATTTTCAGGCTGGAGAGGGAATTGCTGGCGCAATGTTATGAAATACTACTCAATTTGTCCTTTCGATCCCGAGGACTGCACAGGTAGTGGCCCTTACACAGGCGTTTGGGGGAATTTTAAGAAGAATGGCCATTGCCGAGCGCCAAATTTCCTTCTCGCTCCCTGTGGAGAGAAAGGAAAACGGTATTGCATAGGGACAAAGTGCAAGAGAACCAGCAGATCCGAACCTGGCCCCGTCAAATGCTCTAGGAGCACTAAGTACACGAAATGTCCTTGCCTAGGACCATGCGGAAAGGATATCCCCACCGTCTATGACAGATATGGATAAATCTAAGGTAAATACCGTCACGTGCATCAGTCGTTCGTATTGAAATTTAAACTGCCGCTTCCCATTGAAGTTCTTAACAAGATTAAAAACGAAATTCGAAAAGGATTTGGAATGAAGTTTAAAAAAGTTCGTATAATCTGATTTGTATTTAACCAAAAATCTTTTCATCTGGACGCGTCAGAAAAAAAGTAATAAATCAAACGTGTTTTTAATAAGCTAAAACATTTTAACGTTGACCCGGAATAGATCCTGCAAGATATTCGTAATAGAGTTAAGAAGTTTAGATATTCAAAATTTGAACGTGAAACATGAATTTTGTCTTACTTTGTAAAAAATCGTCTTTCAGGTGAAAATTCTAACGGGAGTCCATAGGGAGTGAAGAAGCATTTTCAAACAGCAAAAACCTGAATGGACAAGTTTCTATCGGCTTGGAGCACAACACGAAAAAGTCAATCTGCATTGCAAGCATGGATCGCATTCACCTTTTATAATTATTAACGTTACGTGAACTGTGTTTTTAAATATATATATTTTGGTTCTGTCTGTGTATAAATATAAATAATATATGCATAAAAAGGAATTGTAACAAAAATTCAAGCAAATAATAATTCATTTAGAAAGCATGCAGGATGGGCATACTATTATTCTGACCTACGAACAGAACAGTGACTTTGCTCCACTGATTTTTTTTTTCAATTACAAACTTCAGAAGATACACGTCAATATGTATAGGCCTAACGTGACGGTGCGATATATAACTTACGTGAAATGCTTTTACAGTCTACCGTGGCAAGGAAGACATTAGGCCAGATAATACATGTACAATTACCTCAGTGTTTCTTCAAAAGGTCAATTTACTGTAAAAGGGGAGGATCATCATGGAGTACCGCTTCTTTTGTCTAACACATGATTGTTTATAATCACACCAAAGTTTATCTCACCGCTTAGCTAGAATATTTTATGAGTAATTAAACTAGTACATCTGGGGCCTGTTTCACAAAGCAGTAGTTACTTAGAACAACTAACTACTGAACTACCTCGCTAACGAGCAAACTTAACGATTTTCGAGGGGTGTTTCACGAAGCAGTAGTTAACTTATCGCTACGTTCAGTCGTAAAGTTCAGTCGTTAGTTCTCTCGTTACTCACCGTAGTCTCCAAACCGTCTGCCGGAAGTGGAACTCTTGCGTAAAAGTGTCATATTGGATACAAAGACAAACGACAGACAACGTTTGTCTGGGGGCCAGGGGGCGTTTGTCTGGGGGCCAGGGGGCCAGTTTTACAAAGCAGTAGTTAGTTAACGATCGGTAGTTAGCCTCTCGCTAGTTATAGTGCCGTTTCACGAAGCAGTCGCTAGTTCTCTCGCTCGTCATTGTCTCGTTGTTGCCTTGGATATTTAACGACTGGTCAGACCAGTCGCTAACTCTAGAGTTTCATCGTACGCATGCGTAATGAGTGAAATAAAAAGGTTGCTTAGTTACCGTTGTCTGTCGTTTGTCTTTGTATCCAATATGGCGGCTACCTTTCTTGCTATCCGTACCGCCAGACGGCAACGTAGACTACGACGTTTTCATGAAAGGCAGAATCTATTAGAATATACATGTACACACGATGATGCAATTTACGAGAGGTTGCGCCTAGCTGTGACAAAAAGAGCGGCAAAAAGGTGGTGGAGATCCTTTACGACGACCTCAAAGCAGACGTTCTTATGCATTTCCAGCCACCAAAAATTGGAGAGTTAGTGCTTTCGTGACACTTTTACGCAAGAGTTCCACTTCCGGCAGACGGTTTCGAGACTACGGTGAGTAACGAGAAAACTAACGACCGAACTTTACGACTGAACTTAGCGATAAGTTAACTACTGTGTGAAACACCCCTCGAAAATCGCTAAGTTTGCTCGTTAGCGAGGAAGTTCAGTAGTTAGTTGTTCTAACTAACTACTGCTTTGTGAAACCGGCCCCTGGGCCGTATTCTCAAAACTTTGTAACTTACAACAATTTGCAACTATTTACGTGAACACGGTATTCTCGAAACTCTTGTTAGTCGTGGACTTACAAATTCTTGTAACCTTTCACGCAACTTTCCGAACGTGACGTTTGGTCCATGATTAACCCACAACGACGTATTCCACTCCCGTCCGTTGCGTCGATAAAACGCTTATTTAGACATAAAAGTCTCTAGAAATATATTGAAAATTGTTCAGAAAGACGTTTCCCTACATTTTCTTTCAGGTTTTCATCGGAAAATTCACTCATTTTAAATGAGTTTCCTCCGACACGTAAGCTCAAGAATCGGATTTGGCTCCTCTTGTGGGATTCCCTCAGCTGGGATTCCCCAAGTTTGCCGCTAGCGAAAAGCGCTTTAATTCATCAAATTTGCAATGACAACGTTCAAAGATACTTCCTAAAGTAAAAATCATATTGAACACAATAACTGAACACATTGCTTTTCAATTACAAAACACATAATGAATAGATGATTACAGTTTGAAACGGTACACAAATGATTTTAATCTGGATCAGGGGCCGGTTTCACAAATCAGTAGTTACTTAGAACAACTAACTACTGAACTACCTCGCTAACGAGCAAACAGCGATTTTTGAGGGGTGTTTCACGAAGCAGTCGTTTCACGAACCATTAAATTTGCAAAAATCTATAAAACAATTCTCTAGTAAGCTGGTTGCATACCATACTGTGGAATATGTAGGGTACATTTATACATATTGAATAAAGAATGTAAACATGATATTCTCTTTTGTTTTGAGGGACCAGTGACTTTTACCAATTTTGCCAAAGATCCAACAATATATAAAAAGCTGTAAAAATATTCAAAGCAGTTAATATGAATTTCTATAGGTTCCTATAAGATTTCCTATAGGATCCTATAAGATTTCCTATAGGATCCTATAGGATTTCTTATAAGATTTCCTATAGGATCCTATAGGATATCCTATAGGAAATCTTATAGGATCCTATAGGAAATCCTAAAGGAAATTTTCGTAAGGGCAGATAACGATCGGCAGTTAAGGCCGATTTTATCTCTTAACCAGGTGTGCAGCGGCTATTTACAAAAGCCTGTAAAGGATATCGACCAGGGGCCGTATTCTCGAAAGGTTGTAACTTACAAATTCTTGTAACTTTTCACGTAAGTCCGATCGTTCACGTAAGTTGGTATTCTCGAAGGTTTGTAAGTTACAAAGTCTTGTAAATATGCACGTAAATTTACAACTGCCTCCGACCTGTTGTAAGTCGCCACAAAAAGTTGTACGCATGCGCATTTGGTGAAAAGTCGGGGAGAAAGTGTTGTCTGTGGGAATTTTATGCTCGTGTTTATTGTCGGATATTTTTGACAGCAAGTAAAATTATTTAACTTTGGATGTATTATTATCAGCGAGAAAGGTTCGCCTTTCGGATATTTCAGGTTAGTTGCCTAAAGTTAACGATTTAGATGAGAACAATACGTTTCTGTCGATCGCGCAATGGCAACATGGCAGTTTGGTAGGGTGTCCGAATTTTTAAATTAAAACGAAAACTAACATTTTTTAAAGCACGTGAAATAACTATAAGTGTTGTGAGAAAGCCAAGTTAATAAGCTTTTTGGCGATATAAAGCAGTTAAGTTGTTACTAAAAATTAATCAATTGAGCCGCGGCTTAATTTCAGATTTTGAATCTTCCGACTTTTTTAGGATGAAGATACATGTTTAGTCAGTGAATAAATCAAAATTATACCAACACACCAAGTTTAATAGATGGAGTTTTGTTCGGAAGAAAATTATCTTTCAACTGATGTATAATGTTTACTGTCATTGTATTATTTACAGAAATTCTGTGAGATTTTTTCGTGAAGGTGTGTCTGAAAATCGCCATTTTTATCGGCAATTCATTGACTCAGGTTCTTACGTCTCTATTCCATACACCGGCTCATATGACGGTTATTTTGGAGAATATTAGATTGGGCCTCGTTTTCAAAACTTGAAGCGGCGGCCATATCCAATTTGGCGGGAGGAGCAGGCATAGAGACAGGTAAGATGAACAGACGTTTACACGCTGATATATTGATAATTTTACTAATGCACTTGACAGAACGATAAAGTATATTCTCAAGCTATATTTTTTATACCAAAGTAGTGTTCAAGTATCGGTTTCACTGAATCTTTTATCAAGTTACTGTCGTGTTCCAAAATGGCGGCACACAGAACCGAAATGTAAACACGTTCTTTTGAATTGTGCCAAATGCAGATGAAGGTGATTTTTCTTTGTCTGTTCAGTTTTTTTTATAGTGTGACATTTGTTTTTGAATATGTTAAAATTTTAGGAAGGAACCTAACCTGCAACTTATCGATTTTCTACATGTACGACAGGCAGTATATTTTGCAATGTTCCAACTAACTACAGCGGCAGTCTCGTGTTACATCTTGAATGAATGTCGAAGTTTAATAATGAATTCTTGTCTTTTTATGCATTTCTTGTTTTTTTGAAGTTAACTAGATTAAATTTACTTCATGAAATGAAAAAATGAAAAATGAAAAAATACAGAAAATGTAATATTATCCATGAAAAGGAGTTAAACTTATACAAGAATGTCCAATAAATAATAGGTTTATCTACCTTTTTTACTTTCCATGACCTTGATCATTGACAGTACAAAGGCTTATATTAAGCTATCATAATAAGGTATCAGTATTACACAGCTGAAGATATATATATATATATATATACTGCCAAATATAGTGAAGCTTTTAATAAGTCTGTTGGAATATATCTTGAACATATTTTTTATTTTATATTTGTGAAAGATACAAAATTGAAAAACAATCACAAGCATCTTTTCAAATATATGAATAACAAATTTTAACTTTTCACATGTTTACTTCTTTGTCAGGAGACAAATGTATGATATCAACATGAGTGAAATTTTTTTTCTCTTAAATGAGTTTTATTTCTTACATTACATATTGCAACCTTCATTGGTTGACCATTTTCAATAGATAAACACTTTGCATAATAAAATGCCAGTATTACATTGTGTGTTTTCAAAATGCAAATTTTTGTTATAAGGAAAAGTTTATTTTTGTTAAAAATCTCCCCTGCACAAACCTGCAAAAACATGGGTTATAAGTTTGTGAAGGAGAATTGTTTCATGAAAAAAGAACATTATATTTGCAAAATTCCTCCTTTGTTTTAATTTTTAAATTTGTGTATTTTATGAAACAAAATGTACCAGTACAATAATTAGTGTATGGTAGTTGTGAACACTCTAGTTTGTATTTCCTAAACTCTTCAGGGCTTCATCTAAATGGGATCTTAATTGATTTAAAGATACGCATGTTTGCCACAGTTCAGCTCCTGATGATGAGCTTTGTTTATCTATACTGATACACTTTAAGAGTAAAAAGTGCTATTTAAGATAATTCAATTGTTACCAGCTTCCCAAATAAATTACCAAAATTGTGATTTATTACTTATATTGATTTTAGTGTGTATTGTTGTTGTTGTTGTTGTTTTGTGTGTGTGTAAAAAGATATATGCAATTACAAAAGTTCCTGTAAAACTTTTTAATATTTAATCATATATTTTTCTAGGCTTGAAGAACATGAATGGGACCAGGACAAATTCTTTTTCCAATTCCTTGGCCTGCAGTTTTTATGACAGAATCACCTATCATTTCCAAATACTGTGTGGCAGTGAGCACCATCACAACCTCTGACATTCTTTTAAAGACTGAAAAATATTTTTGTGCTGTGCTAGCTGTTGCTAATAATAATATTTATTGATCATCAGTATTACTACATTTGTCATATATTTTACCAGTATATGTGAACCATGCACCATAGGTAAGGTATGCTAAGTTTAGCTTTTGCATACATGACATGCCTTGTAGACAGAAATTTACACTTATAAAAATAAATTCAAATGCAAGTATGGATTGGTACAGGACTAACTGGGTATCGGTGAAAAAAACTGCTGACCCAAGGTAAATTTATAAAATAATATTATTATTAATATTGATCCTGTTTTTAAAAGGAGTGGTGTGTTTGTTGGTTAACTGTATGTACTGATTAATAAGTGTAAAATAATCGCCATATTGATGTGTTGCTAAAATAAAAAAAAAATTTTGCCACAAATAAACGTGTATTACATGTATGAAAATAAAATATAGCAAATTGAATTGATGTATCTTTTGTTTCGATTTTTCGTTTTTTCATAAAAAAAGGAACTCTTATTAGTTGGCCTCATATATAATAAATAAATGCTTATTTATAAAGAAAAAATATGAAATGTTTATTTTCCTCCATTCTTCCTGTGCCAGCTTCATTTGACTATATAGACAATAATGAGCGGCGGAAAAACCAAAACGAGGTCAGAATACCAACAGAATGTACTGAGTCAAAACGAGGCTGGTACACGGTTGTTGCAAGGAAGACATTTTTTGCATACACGGGTGTGAATTGATTTGTTCCATTCCTGGATGAAGGTAAAGTTCCTTACATGCTTACATTTACAGAAAGCTGAATAAATTTGCCACAGCTTACTGGTAATTTGAAATTGGAACCTGGGGCGGTATTCTCGAACGTTTTCGACGTCGAAATTTTTTCGTCTTCGATTCGTTAAAAAATTCGTGAACGATTCGTGGTATTCTGGAAGCATCGAAACGAATACGATTCGAAAACGAATCGAATCCTTGTCGAAATCGTGACCTAATTCCAGACTCGGAACTCTCCTCTCTCATGAGGCGAGAAAATACATCTAAATAAAGGATTGGAGCGAGCAGTTTCCTCATAAAACTCTTAATTATCACAATTCATAACAGGAAATAAAGTCTTGTGTGCTTTAACAATTTATTTTATTGTTTCTTAAAGATAATTCAAGCAAAAGATTTATTATTTAATATCCGACTACTACGTCTTTCCGTGTTTTGCGCCGGCTTTTTCTCCCTTTTTAAGTAGGTCAAACTAGGAATTCCCGGCGCGATTTTGTCCGCGGGAATTACCCTGGAAAAGTGCTTCGACATGGGCGGAATCCCCCCCAATTTTCTCGTTATTGAAACGGTGACATTAAAAAGAAATCATACAGATATTTCACAATATACTTCAATTATTAAAATAAATGAACTTTCGTTGTTGTCATTTTGTTTGTTCGTTTATTCTTCCAAAAAACACACCATCTCTGAGTGTCAAAAAATGAAGGTAAATCTAACCCAATCAGATGCCGGCGTGACAGTATAAAAGCCTTGGCGCAGTTTTTCCCGGCGCCAGAAGTGAAGATGGAGCAGTGTAAAAAGCGAGTGAAATTCTCTAGCGAAGAGGTTGAAGTTTTAGTTGATGAAGTAGAAAAGAGGAAAAGCATTTTATTTAGTAAATTTTCTACAACAGTAACCAATGAAGCCAAGATGAAAGCTTGGGGAGAAATCACTAGAAGGTTTGTGTCCATTTTTTTAAAATTAAAAGCACTAAAATAGGTGACTTGAATATTGATATATATATATAT